CACAACAACCTCGTCGCAATACGTGTCCCCCACAATGTGGTACCGGTGGTCACTTGGATAGAGCCGGTCATTAGTTTTTTTCTTTTGTTCAATTATAATAGTACTTTTCATTAGCTCCTAAATTAATATAATTTATTTTAACATTCTATATCCTAATTTTTTCTTAATGTTATTTAAGTTTCAATTAAAACTAAGATATTTAAAATAAAGTATTTAAAAAATAGAATAAAACATTAATAATATTTATGTTTAAAAAAAATTAATAATTCAAAATCTAATTTTTATGTTTAAAAAAATTAATAATTCAAAATATAAAAAATATCGTTTTTATTTTTTTAAAACATTAAATGAATATAAAAAAATAATCAAAATATAAAACAAACCCTAGCATTGCACTGATTCGCCAATCAGGTTGGCGCATAGAATCCCCACAACACTCATTCGCCAATTCATCTGGCGAATTCATGTTCTCCAAAATCCACTTTGAACTCATTCGCCATTTCAAATGGCGACCCCATGCTGAATACTTAGTCATTTTAGACAATTTTTTTGAATACTTAGTTATTTTGGTAAATTAAAATCAATACTTGATTATTTAAAAAAAAAATTTGTATTTATAGTAATCTGTTTTATAACAAACTAGACAAGTCTAATCTTAAAATCATCTCTTCTCAAAAAGTTTTTGGTTTAGATCCTCCTTATTTTATGTCTTATTTCTTTAAAAAACTTTAAAAAAATGATCGAGGGATGAAATTTAAACAATACTAAAGATTTTTTTAGAAAGGACAATATTAAATACTTAGAAGTGATAATCACATTATAGGATATTTGTTTATCTTTTTTATATTATGGTGTAAATTAATTTTTTTATATAATTATTGAAAATAAATGATTTTTTTATACATATTATTTTTTAAAGAGAAATATTGTATTCAAAATTCTCTATACAATATTTATTTGTTTTTTTTTAAAAGTAATTTAGTGACTGAAATAGATCAGAAAATTCTTCCTTAAAAAATTTAAGACTACTACGTGTCTAGAGCTGATTTTAAACCTAGGATATTTGATTAATAGAGAATAAAATCATGTCATTTTAATTAGGGATGTAAATAGCTCACGCTAACTAACATAAATTTACGACATAGTCTACAAATGCTCATGTTAGACCGGATTTTTTTTAAGTAGAAAAAGACATAACTTTTTTCATAAAAGTATTTGGTTGAAAATGCTAAGCTACATGTCATACAAAAGTCTTTTAAACCTTTCAGACCAACCTATTAAATAAATATGAACAAATTTATTAGTAATTTATACTTTAAATTAAAATACAAATATAAATCTTAATTATCTTAAAGAACTTATGAAAATAAGCAGTGGCGGATCCAGGAATATTAATTAGTGGGGGCATGATACTCCTTCATCTCATAAAAATTAAAAAACTAATTATATATATATATATATATATATATATATATATATATATATATATATATATATATATATATATATATATATATATATATATATATATATATATATATATATATATATATATATATATATATATATATATATTAATTTTAATGAAAAAACCAATGTTATTTTTCAGAATACGTTTATTCATTGTAGTAAATAACATAGTTGAATTAAATTAAAGTTAATAAATAATAGAAATAGTAATAGAAAAATAATAATAAATATTGTATCGTATTTTTAAGAGATAATTATTTTACAATATAGAAAAATATAAAAGTGAGATACTTGTTATATGAATAAGGAAGTACACATATTTTAAATATTACATACCGCATATTAGAAATTTTTGCATAAAAATTTATTAAAATAAATATATATTTGTCTTGTGAATTTAATTATTGTTACCATTAGAGTACTACATCAAAAAATTAAAAAAAAAAAAAAAAATTTCAAACAAAAAATTAATCTTTAAACTAGATATTTAGAATAATTGTTTTTTTTTCCCAATATTATTACATATATATTTAGGTGTATGTGGTCAAATAATATTTTAACAACTTATCTTTTAAATTATTTTTATAATTAAAATTAGTTAACTCATTTTATGGGGACAGTATTTAATTTTTAAGAAAAATAAAAATAAAATAATTAATTTTTTAATACAAAATAAATAAATTAGTGAGGGCAAGTGCCCCAATTGACATAAGCTAGATCCATCCCCGAAAATAAGTTAAAAATACCTTATGAACAATGTAATAAGTAATTTTCATAAGTTCTCTCAAACAAATACTATCACACAACTTATACTATTAGGTAAACTCAAATAAATCAATGCAATCGAATATTTAGACTCATTGATATTTTAATATTAACAAATTGCTTATTTACAAATGTTTAAATAAAATAGGATTTTAAATAGACTAATAGTTTAGTCGGACATTCGAAGAAAACATACTTAAACATAAAAATAAGTCTATCATAAATTATAAATCATGCTTAGACTTTGAATATTTAAAGAGGTTGAATTCATACTTACAAAATCTAACTCGTTCTAATCTATTTTCACCAAAATCTTAACGTTATCGGATTAAAAAAACCACTTAAAAAACTTTTTGAAAACTTTACCCCATACCCTATCATTTATTTCTCTACTCCTGCCTTCTATATTTTTTGACCAAAATATCCTTATATAAATAAGTATAAAAATTTTCTTATTTAATTATTTAATCTGGAATTTAATACATAAATCTATTTTTAAACGCTACTTGATTGATATGTTTAACAAACATGACAAGTATTATATACTTTCCGTAAAAGTATTATATAATTTTGTTTATAAAATTGTTAAACTTTAATTTTTTAAAAGTTTTAATATTATAAAAAATGAAAAACAAATTATCCATATTTTTAAGAACTGATATTTTTATTAATTTTAATTTATTATCAAAAATATATATTTTTTCCTTTTTAATTCTTATTTTATGTTTTTAGTTTTTTTTTCAATGTCTTCCAATTTCAAATTACCTTATAGCTGATATCATGAGAAACTGTTCGTCAAAAATTATTGTATGTTTTTTATATCAGTTTCTTTGAACCGTAATGTCTTTCAATTATTATCTTCAAATTATCTCATACCCGCCTCATTTATAATTTTTTAATAATTAACCCAACTATGAGGTAACTTATAATTATGGTTCGAGATATTGACTATTTCTATCATCTTTCTTTAAATAGGTTGGCTCATACTTGAAGTATTTAGAAAATAAGAAGAAGAAAAAAACTACTAGCTCAAAAATCGTGTTGTATATAATTATTGCCATTTAAATCACATGCAAATATAAATTAATATCCTTAACATCTTTTTACGAAAAATATATAATACTTTTCATATTTATTGAGAATATTAATTAAGTAGTGTTTAAAATTAAATTTATTTATTAAATTTCATATTAAATAATTAAATGAGAAAAATTTTACACTTTTTATATGAGGATATTTTGATAAAAAAAATATAAGATAAGGATAGAAGAATAAATGATGGGGTATAGAGTAAAATTTTCAAATCTTTTCAAAATAATTTACAAAATACTAATTATAATTTATCTTATTTTTATTTTTAAAAATAAAACATTAAACAACGTCGTTGCAGACGGGGAAGTCACTGAAAACCAAGTCTACTTAGTGATCAGGAGAAATCATCAGCTCCCCTTGTAATAGCCCTAGACCGTTGCCCGGTCCTCTGAGTTCCATCGCGCATCTTCGCCGGAACGCTGTCGCCTCATCCCCGTCGGAACAGACTTTCTTCATAAGTCAAGCAACTCTCGCAAACCCTAGCGCTGTGCCTCTCATCTTCTCCATCTTCACACTTTAATTTAGGTATTTTTCTACGTTCCTTGTATTTTAGGTCATTTTGTTTGCTCTTCCTTTCAATTTGCTTGTTCCATCTGTGATTTTTTCTAGTTCCGGAATTTTGCTGTAATATTTTCTCGATCATGTTTGTTCTTTGTGATAATGACGGGATTTGGCTAATGATAAAGGGTTTTTTGTGCATGTGGTTGTCAACGGTAGTGAAACGTGCTGATGATGTGGTTTTTTCTGTTTATGTTTGTATTTTTGTTTCTTCTTAGGATGAGATTATTGAGAGGTTGTGGTTTGAGGTGCGACTTAAGTAGAAAATGAGAATGTGGATGATCTGAATAGCATTATGAAGAAGAGAAACACACCAGCGATAAGGATTAGTTTGGGATTGCATGTGCCTTGTGTGTTGGATTGTGTTAAGAATCCCACATCGGACAATATATGGCATGAACACGTGTTTATAAGTGGGGGCAATCCTCACTCTACCAGCCAGTTTTGAAGGGTTGAGTTAGACCCAACCACACTTCTTAACATGGTATCAGAGTTTCGTTATCAGAGTTTCGTTTAAGATCCGGTGGGCCACCTTCTATGGTTTCCGCTATCGCGCCACCCACCATTTATTTCCACGCTTCAGTTGTCCAGTCCTGAGCACGTGTGTTAAGAGTCCCACATACCAGCCGGTTTTGTAGGGTTGAGTTAGGCCAACCGCATTTCTTAACCGATTGGATTGCATTTTTGTGTTTTAGAAATGCTGACAGAAAATATGCAATTATCATGTCTGTTTTTTTTTAATGGAAATTAGAACATCTACGTGTAAAGTATTGCAAATTGGAAATGTAAATTTTCTCTAGAGTAAAGAGAATTCTGATAGGATTGTAAGGATCTGTTTATGATTGGTTTAGGTTTCTGATGATATTTTGGGGTTATTGATTGTGACTGATATATGCACTTTAAAACATCCAAGATTTTTGAGAAATTAGTGTCTTCTAGGTACAAAGAAGGATGAAAGGTTTTGTTGATGATTGTTCTTGTTTGGTTAACTTTTGCATGAACCATACAATTCCTTAAAGATAATTATGACTTAACTTTTTGGATGTTTGCTCACTATAATAATTTTAGTTATTTCATATCTAACTATCAGTTCAAGCGGTGTGAGCTGAAAAACAATGGGAAGTGCACCTGCTCAAATTCCTGGAAACTTTGGACATGAGTTGAGGGCTTGTCTTCGTTGCCGCCTTGTCAAAACCTACGATCAGGTCTTACTTCCCTTTTATCTCATCATTCTTTTCTTGTTTTTGCTTTGTTATTTTTTATGATTAGAAAACAATGACTGCTTTTTGATTCACAGTTTAGAGAGTCAGGTTGTGAGAACTGCCCATTTTTACAAATGGAAGAAGATCACGAGCGTGCGGTTGAGTGCACTACCCCCAATTTTAATGGGTATTTCTGTCATATCTTTTTACATCAAAACCCTAATCACCTTTGAAATTTCTATTGTCATTTTGTTTTTGTTCTCCAATTTGATTTTCAGGATCATTTCAGTAATGGATCCAACTCGAAGTTGGGCTGCCCGTTGGCTGCGTATTGGTATATTCATTTATCTTCTGTTACACACTTATTATAATTGCGTCTTGCCTTGCCTTTCAGTTTTCCTTCCCTTTACAATAGTGTGATGATAACATTACGTTGTAATATATAACTAGTCACATGGCCATGCAAATGGATGACAGTCGACGAATATTAGCTTAAATACTAACAATAAAAAACAATTATTAAAAATTACCTGAAAAATATCCAAACATATGCATGATATAACATCAAAACAAAATTAGGATTCATTAATTTGCATTATATAAAAATTGCGACAACAATAGGTAAAGAAAAAGATATTGTATAACACTATTTGATCTTTATATAATAGAGTATTTTTTGCAAGACATTTACTAAACATACATGGATATGTGGTTAATCTCTACAATTGCATGATCAAACTGGGTACATAATTTTCTCCGTACAATGTGCAAGGGGGAACAATTTTTTGTAAATTATTTTCATTTGCGTGAGAGCTTTATGATTATTTTTATTAGTCTCAATTGTTAATTTTCTACTCAACTGTTATGAAGCGTATGTCTAAAAAGTATTTTATTTTGCAAATCTATCTTCTCTCTGAATTCAAGGTAAATTTTGAATTCATATATATTGACTCAAATTGTTGTGAACTCAAGTGCCTGAGTGTCAAAGTAAAATGAAAAGAATATGAAACTAAACTACATCTTAGTAATACATCACTCCTAATGTATTTCAAAACCCAAAGTGCTTTAAACAAAGAAAGACAACGTAAAACATTCACCATTCACTAAAATCTTTTAGAATACTCAATTTTCACCCAAAAAATGGCCACTTTCAATATCTTGATCCTAGATTTATAAGAAATTGTAGTAAAAGCAATATCCAGTAAAATACCAAGATATAAAACTGCTGTTCAAGAATGCTCTCATTTTTCCTAAGCAGGGACCAAAAGGTTTCAACATATATTATGCAGCATTAGGGGTACTCTATTCAAATATATTGCCTAAGCATCCCAAAAGAGAGGATATAATAATCCAATTTTCTGATTCTCTTGAGTTTGGGTTCCTATCAATTGGTCTGCCCTGCCGGATTCTTGACGGAGAGTTAGTGTTGAGATGTCACTCAATATGTTCACAAATTAAAGGCTGCCAGAATTTGTCGGTGAAGGAAGACTTCATAGGATGGATCATTAAGGCAGGAAGATTTTTCGAGTTGGAAAAGATCCATTTATTGGATAAACTACAGCGGGCATTCATGAGAATGGGCGGTATAGCACTGGTTTGGTTTTCGTCTTGGTGCCAAGAGGATTGCGATGGAGACTGGGAGTCATTTCCCACAGCTATGATTAGAAGGGTTGTAGTGCATTTGGAGCACTTGGCAGAGAAATGGATGCTGACAAAACCAAAGAACAAAACTTGAACCATGTAAAACAAAGGAAATAAGCAGCGAGCCTGAGTTGGAGGTGGAAGAAAAGAGGTTGAAGTATGGTTATGGTTGAACTGATTCTCAGTCCTTTAACAATGGCCAGGCTTATGCCGTTGTCAAAATCAAAGGATTTGTAACTGCTTGTGACCTCAACAGTGACCTAGTTGCAAGAGATCTGACTATACTCCCACCACCACTGAAGCTGCCAGAACCACCATTTGCTAGTTCACGAGTTGTGGCTCTCCCACCGCTTCGAAAACGGCCGGACTCCGGATGCTAACTAGAACCACTGAGAGTTGGTTTACATGCAACGACCCTTCCACAGTTGGTGGCAACGACCATGGAGGACATAGTTGCAGATATGATTCTTAAGGGGAGAATATAAAGGAGGAAATACTGTAAGAGCTAGGGAGATTTAAATTAGTCGGTGTTAGTTATGCTGTCACCACCACTGGAGCCTCCGAGATACCATCCCATATGTGGTGGTTAGTAAGTTGTGGTAGAACAGCTGTTTGGCGGTAAATGCAGCAGTGCATCTATATGAGAATGGGAAATCAACTCTTGGAAGGAAATAAGAATCAAGGGTAAAATGGATAAATTGTGGGTCGGGTCTCATTCTAAACCCGGTGGGTCAGGCTCAAAATGTGGGTTGAAGTAGATCTACCCATGCTGGTCCACATGGATGATAGCCCATCTGTTGAAAAAAAGAGGGGCACACAAGGATCGCTCATTAAGCTTGACCCGAGTCAGAATCTAAGAAATAATATGTTGTGGCAGGGAGTGAAGGTGAGCAAATGGTGTGACCATTTCTGTTATAAGAGGAAGACCGAGAGAGACGGAAGGGTGTGGAGTATCTTTTCAGGTAGGAACTTTTTGGGTTAGGCAGAGTGAGAGCTTTGCTCTGGGATTACAGGGGATCTCTTCTGTAATATTTCTTGCTTTTTTCCATTAATGTTATAATTTTCTGATTCTCTTGAGTTTGGGTTCCCATGCAATCCCTACAGAAAGTAGATAGAGCAGTGACCAACATACACACCTTTCTAGGTTAATGCAGGCATAACCTCCCTTACAAAAAGCTAAAGCAAGTAATATGCTAGTACCTTTTTATATATCAATTGAAATCACAGCCATATATTTTGGCATTGTCCATTAAGCAAATGAACTGACCTGCAAACCGTGCCTTCCTTTTTTCACAAGTACAAAATCCATTAACCACTAAATATACAATCTTCAGAGGTTGCTAAGGTGATGTTCCAAAAAAGGTTGTCATGGGAAGAGATTCGGCCTTGATTCAGAACTGTATACCTCTTTGAGTTAAAACCTGGTGATGTAATTTAGTGAGTAGCTGTTGTGTGACTGATACTTGAAACTAATTTCCATTGGCGCGAGCTTGATGCGTATATTATAGAGAAGAGAATAGAGATAAAGATAGATATCAATGAGCTTTTGTTATTTTTTATTTTTTTATTTTTTAAATTTTATTGTTTGTTCTTTCATTTTTCTCTTGCAACTACAAGGTGGCAATTATTATTATTATTATTATTATTTTTTAAATTGAAGATTGAAATCTTGTACACAGGTGAGGTGTTGAAATTTAAGGTTTTTGTAATATTTTGCAGGAAGATTTGTTCCTGGTGTTTACACTCTTGCTGTCTCAGAAGCTCTTTCAGAAGAGATGCAGGTTTGTATTTTTCTTTTTGTGTAATGTATATTCAGCATCTATTACTATTGTTTTTAAAGAGAGATTTAGTTTTTGTTAACACACAGTTGTCTCTTTTCTAGTATAGGATTGATAAATAATCATTCAGTCAGTGTATACAGCCACATTATTTGATTCTGCACTATAGTTTCCTTCTTTATTAATGGTTTTGTAGGTTTTTTCTGCTAATTATAAGACCACAAATAAGATAATGGGCTATCCATTTTCCATTCTTTCCCCAGCCTACTGAGATAGTAAATTGATTTGATGAAAAGTTGGTTTAGTTTTAGTGTCACCATTAGAAGATTGTTTACCAGATTTTGAGCTTTATAGCAGCAAACTCTGTAGACTTGAGTTCTATGGCATCTATTAACTTCGGTTTTGTCTACTTATAATTGTCTCGCCATTATCCCACTCTTTCAAAAACTCCTGCAACTCCCAAAAACCATAATTTAACTTCAGTTTTTCTTTTGGATTTTCGCCTAGGTTGCACCTTTATCCATTAGTTTAACTGGTTGGATATTAAATATCTGGCAGTTTATTTTGTCTTTCACAAATTTGCTGAAAACTTAATTTTAAAATCCGAATTACTTTTAGGGAAGCTCTAAACTCACAGGCTGAGTTATGTGTAACACTGTTGCCTTGTGAATTGGGACTTTCAATAAATGCCTTAGTGGTTATTAATGTTCAGCAACTAAAATAAGGTTACTTTTGCATTGTTACATTATCAAGTATGATAATGGCTTGCTCAACCTGTATAACAAAATGAAAGATATACACAAGTTTTTTCAAGCCATCCAATATACAAATCATTATTTTCTTGCGTTTCTTTTGTATCCATTTTTACAGTATACACTGAATCACCGTTGTATGTTGAACTTTGTTCATTTATTTTATTGCTTGTTCATTTGCAGGCTATTTGTGCGGATAAGCATGTGCAATATATGCCTCCCAAACGTTAGTGGAACAAGTGAATATTGGCTTTGTGACATCTCTAACATGGTTGAAACCGAGTATGTATTGATGTGGATTTTATTGCTAGTTTTGGTCAAATGCATTCTTGAAATGCCTTGTTAAATTCTCTAAACATAAATTAATTATTTGTACATGAGAAAAGCTCATGAAACTAACATAATATGACTTCTTTTGACTGATAGTTGTTGGCCAAAGCAGTTTATCAAAACTACTATCATGCAAGCGAATTCCCAAATTATTGTGTTCTTCGTCCGTTTTGGGTTATAATGGTCTATTCGTGTTTCTTGTGTTAGGGACAATGATGCAAATGTCCTAGGTGTTAGGCATGGTGATAAAATCCATTAACACAATATCTATCCAATTTATTCAATAATTAATTCATTTAATAATTAATCCATCCAATGCAACTATGAAACAAAATAAAAAATGAATCAAATCTATTCATCTCAATTTATAAATCTAATAGATCATATTTTACTTTTTAATTATACTTTTTAAATTTTAACTAAATCATTTTTTATTTTTTAAACTAATTAATTTTTTGTTGGAATTAACCAAAAATTTTGAGAATTTCAAATCAATTTTGATAAATAAGATTCAATCAATTGATTGAAATTTCCTATTCTTCACTAAAGTGAAACAATCACATTGATTACAAGAATGATTTTTTGCAGCAATTGTTAATGAAAAATGAAAGAAAATTGAATAAGAAAAAAAATTAGGGTATGACAAAATAGTGGAAGAGGAATTAGGGTATGACAAAATAGCGGAAGAGGAGATATTTATGTAGAGTAACCCTATTTTCAAATTGAGAAAATATTATTCAATTGTGCAACTGTACTTTGTGTTACAATATTATTTTCTATTCTTACTTAAAATAGGGATTACTCTAGTACCTTTCTTGCTAAGGTAAAACTCAAAAAAGCCTAAAATTTTTATTTTGGTCTACGTCAAAATTCTGTGTCAAACAACATGCTTCGACACTTCGACATTTAACACAACTCGACACACACACTAGGTTAATTTTGACACATCTTTGTTTCTGTCGAGCTACACTTCCTTACACCAAAAGCACCAAAAGAATTTCTTAAAAGCAACTGGCTTAGGACCTCCTACGTTATGATGTTGATCATTACCTGGTTTCCTAAACTCATAATGTCTATGAGAAACATTATGAGTGTTCTTATTTTTTCAAAAATTCTTACCAGAATGACGTTTAATTAAATCAGAAGAACTAAATCACTTATTTCCTTCTTGAGTTTCTCTTCTTCAGCTACACACTTGGTAATAAGTTATTGACGGTCCACTTATCACCCAAGGTATTGTAGGCGGTTTTGATTTGAGTGAATTTAACAAGTAGGGAATTAAAGGCATGAGACACAATGAAATTATCATTCAAGTCAATGTTATGAGTTTTCAGTTTGGTTTGTACATGAACCATTCTAAGAATGAACTCCTTGACACCCTCATTGTTATAATATTTCATGTCTTTGAGTTGTTTCATTAAACATCCAAATTCAGCATTATCAGATACTTGAACCTCTATCCGATAACAATAAGATATTCTTTAGCATTCTTTTTTTTAAGTAATCCACTTATCAGATGTTCAGAAATGGTCCTCTTCATAACACACAAGTTAAGTCGGTCATTCATCTCCCACTTAGCTAATTTTTCTTTCTCTTCAGGTATACTCTGATCATTGATCACTAGTTTGATTTCAGGTAATGTCATGTTGTCGCATACTGTGAAAAAGGACCGGCGGAAACAAACAGAAGAGTCGCCACCGAACGTTATTTATCCGAAAGAGAGGGAAAGAAAACGATCGAAGAAAACCTAAAAGAACGGGAAAAGACAAGGTCATCGCAACCAAATCTTGGGTTCGGGAGTCGGTTACGCGAGGGGAAGGCATGAACACCCTTCACGTCCGTTATACTCAACGAGATCCACGCTTATTGTCTATCAAAAGAGTGAGTTATCTAAAAGCTACTGCTAAAACGGGGGATGTAAAAGAAAAAGGAGACTCGATAGGACATCGTCGCGCTATGCCTACGTATTCTCTCGTGCAATGGGAAAGTCAGAGTCAACGTAGTTCGGAAAACTACGAGTGATGAGGGGAAGGTTGCTCACTAAGAAATCGCCGTCTTGTGCTTACGTATCCTCATCTGACATGAGAAATCAGAGAAAACATAGTTCAGGTAACTAAACCATAGGTTGGTTAAGTATTTTTTATGAGCGGCGCTAAGTTCCCATTCCAGCAGTTAGGGTCGATGTCTGTTTGCGGTAGAACGGAAAAATAACGTACTCTTTTCTGAAAATGATCTTAAAGAACAATTTCGAAGGATAAAAAAGTTTGAATTTTGTTTAAGAGTCTTTTTAAGAAGTGAATTGAATATTTTTGAGATTCATGTTGCACTAAAGGCTAGGACATAGGAGCAAATGCGTCGCATATCGCCCAAAGGGCATACACTAAGCACTCTAGACAAATGAGAAGAAAACCCCCACTCATAATTTTCCATATTCTTAAGGTTCGTGGCGCACAACATTCATCATTCTTTATTAAGTGTCTTAAGATTGTTTGAGATGAGAAGAGAAGACACAAAAGAACACTAAAGGAAAACTGAAAATCCTAATGTTATCATACAAAGTGGTCATAAAGTTGAAGTCAGAGAGGGACTATCCTAATTGTTATCATACAAAGGATTGAAATCCTAATGTCTCTCCTAGTCCCATCTTAAATAGAGGGACTAGGAATCCTAAGGGGTCAACTGAGCAAACACAAGTAGACATTATCCAATTCAATCACAAATGAAAACAAAACTCAAGACTTAAACAAGTCTCAAGGCAAAAGAAAGAGAAAAAGAAGAAAGAGATGGAGGAGAAGAAGCAACAACAAGCAACTTCTCAGAGAAGTTCAACTCAAGTGACAAAACAAACACACAAGTAAGCACTAAGCTCAATTGCACACAAAGCATATACCACATCATGTCAAAATGAAATAAGAATGCATATATGTCCAACCACACCCAAACATTAGAGGTTAAAGCAAAATGGCAAGACAAAGTGCCCAAACACACAAAAGTGACTCAATGTCTAACAATAGACATCCTCAATCATCAAACAAAATGGGATAAATTTAAATGAGAAAGAAAACAAAGTAGGGTAGTAGCAACATCACATCACATTCACATCATGTCAATGATCAAATAAGAAACAAAAACAATTGAATCATGTATCATATTCATAAACAAATCCAATGTTACATAAAACAAGCATGTAACAAACACACTTCACAAGTGTAAACATGTAAACTCAAGGAATGAATCCAAATGGGCAGAAATATGAACATGTATATCAATCCATCATTAACACATGACTCACAAAAAGAAATCTCAAACATCAAGCTCAAAGCATGTACCAAGACTAGGCAAACATCAACTATAATCATTTTCATGTATTCAAGAATGGCACAAGGCACAAATGGTTAAGTAATACATACCACAACATCAAGGTCAGAAACACACTCAAATGATTCATATTGTAACAACCCAATTTTCATTAATTAATTATTTATGTTAATTAATTGATTTATTGAAATTATTGGATGATTATTTAAAGGAATTGGTAGATATTTTGAGAAAAGAAATATATTGGAGAGAAATAGAAGGGAAAGGGATATAAGAGAAAGTGGAAAGAAAAGAGATACAAAGAAAAGATAGAAAGGAAAGAAGGAAAAGAGTAGAGAAAGAAACAGGAAGAGGAGAAAAGAGAAGGAAAAGAAGGAAAAGCTTGGAAAGCTCAAGAACAACTTCTAGCTTCGATTTAATCAAGGTAAGAGTGTGAAATCTTATTATTCTATCAATGTGTATGATTATGTATGTGTTTGTTGAATTGGTTTGGATTGTTGGAGAGTTTTTTCTCATTTTCCATTTTAGGGCAGAAATGAGTGTAATCGATAGAAACCGATATTTTTGCGGATGAAACTCGAAATAAATTGCGTAGTTTAGTCGGGTAATGTTTAGCCGTGATTATTGGATTTCGTTTGATTGAATTTGGTTGAATTTGTGAGTTTTGACATTTTTGGACAATTGGAGGTTAAGATTTTGGATGAAAATCGGAAGTCGTAGAATTTGCGTTTTATGATCCTAAATTGTTACTATATGATTGATAATGATGAGTAGGTATTTAATCGGAAGAAAATAATTAAATCGGTCGGGTTTTTGGAGGTTTTGGGCAAGAACCCGTAACCTTGTTTTTCTGAAAATTTCAGGCGTTAACCGGTTAACACTTTGGGTTTACCGATTAACGGTATAAAAATGGCCTGGAAAACTGAGTTTTGGAGCCGTTAACCGGTTAACAATATCCGTTAAATGATTAACGGAGTGTTAATGTGCCGGGATTTTGAAAATCTGGGTGTGTTAACTGGTTAACAGAAAGTGTTAACCGGTTAACACTGTAAGTGTGAGAAAATATTATTTTTCAAAACTTTGAAAATTCATAACTTCTTCCCCGTTTATCGGATTTTGTCGTTCTTTATATAAAACTGAAGCTAATAATGTGTTCTATAACTTGGTGAAAAGAAATATTATTTTTAGCCGATTTTTAGCCGATTTTACCAATTAATCGAGATTAATTATTTTAAGTAAGTGAGGCTTAAATAATTAGAGCGTTCGGTTGCCGTTTGACATAATTGCTGTAAATACACATGGATTGTATGTGATAACATGAGATGAATGCATGAAAATATTATGAATATGTATGCATTTCAAGAAGTGTATGGAGTCATTTTGCATGTGAAACATCATGATATACATTCTTGTGCTGATTGATTTCGCGTAGAATCTGCTGAACGAATGTGTGCCCGTGTGGGGTGTGAGCAGTCCATAAACATTGTGTGTCCATGTAGGGTGTGAGCAATGGGTGAACATCGTGTGCCCATGTGGGGTGTGAGCGATGGTTCTAATAAGTTCTTGAGTGAACTTGAGATGAT